CTGTTCATCGAGCTATGTGTTCTGTCAAAATATCCTCATGATACCATATATTTATATATATATAAGTGCATCAGATAATTATTGATAATTGTTCAGTTACAGATTGTTTTATTATCTTATTGTCTTATCAACGTTTAATCTTTAGTTTATTGATTATAAATGATGTATGGAAAACCCCTCATGATTTGGCTTAAGATGTGTCGACAGCGTTCCGTGTCTCAACTGACTCTTTATAATTAAGCCTGGACTTTTTTTAAATTTTCGATTACATCTGATGGTTAAAAAAATACTCATGTGCACATCTGTCTTGGCAGGTGGTTCGGAAGATATCTACCGTGTATATCTCCCTGGGGAGGCTCACTAAATTGCCATCAACTTAACCGGCTTAAATGTCTGTCACGCCTAGTAAAGCTGTTAGGGGGTAATTATCTTTACTCCCTACCCGATTCGGTAGGCGTGACACACATTTAAGATTCCAACCTTGAGCGTTTGATAACTCATCTTTAATCTGCGATTGCAAAAAGTCTTTCTCTTTTTCCCATTGTTTCTCTTTTTCGGCATTTTCAAATAAAAGTTTATTCTTTTCTTGTTTAAGAGAAAGTGTTACTTCCAGTGTTATGCAGTTAACATGGAATTTAGGGTCACTCTTGATTTTTCTTTTTGTTGTTCACAATATCTTTTAAATACTTTATTGAAGTAAATAAATTAAATAAATAAATAAATGTGTACATAGTGTGAAGATACAGACTGAAGAAAAAGTAATATAAAGAAACTCCTCTTATGCACACACACACACACACACACACACATTCATATTCGCTCGTTTGCTCCCCTATACGCTAACTGTACAGAAGATTTTCATTATAATAATAATAATAATCAATTCAGATTTTATAGTCATAATTCTAATTCCACTACTACTACTACTACTACTACTACTACTACTACTACTACTACTACTACTAATAATAATAATAATAATAATAACCCAATGAAAGTAAGTAGCTGACAGGACGAAAAACAAAGTTTGAAAATCGACAGCTAAAGGCTCTATTTTTCTAAAAACAAAAAATATTGGCAACCACTGTACCCACTGCTCATCAAACTTACATTTTTGGATACATAAACTAACTACGCATGGAAATTTAAAAATATCTAATTACTAGACTAAGAGTATACACACACCTTATACATCATTTTCAAACCAAGCATAGTAGGTACATGTATATAGTTCTTAAATTAGCATGAGGTACCAACTGTGTGGCTTCCCACTGGGCTATATGATCCGTATGTTTCTTGAGTTAGATAAATAAGAGAGATAATAGTCTGCTATATTCATAAGGTGTGTGTTTACTATTTTATATTTGTTAAATATTTGATATTTTATCAATGTGTAGCCATGTAAGCCGCAAAGAAGATTGTTTCCTTTCCGGGTACAAATAGATGGAAATTTTGCATATATTTCTGTAGTATCGGGTGTATTGTTTTAAACCGACCCAAGTAGGGATTTCGGACCTAGACCTACTTATGCTTATATATTTCTGTATAACAAGCATAAATAAATATAATCTTTCTATATCATATTTTTAACAAAGCCAATTACAAAAACTTTCGGATCCCTCTCAATATTGATATTCATATTTTCTCTCACATTTTTTATTAAACATGTTCACAATATCTAGGGCTCTTGTATTTTGGAATGCCTAGGAATGAAAAGTTGGTTATTACTTTTCAATATAATCTCCCTTCATCTTGATGCACTTTATCCATCGCTGTTCTAATTAGTGTATCCCTTAAAAATAGAAGTCTATATCCTGGTCCCCCAACTACTCATTTACTGCATCTATGACACCTTTATTGCTTCCGAATTTTCTAACAAAAAGGTTAGATTTCAGTTTTGGGAACAGATAGAAGTCAGACGAGGCTAAATCAGGAGAATATGGGGGATGAGGGCGCATTTAATCACAGCAGCCATGGCAACTTGCGACGTGTGTGCAGGTGCATTTGGTCAGTTTTACACACCCTTCTCGTCTTTAGAGAGACTTCCTGGTGTAATAATAAGCGTTGGAATCTTATTTTCTCAACCAATGACCTTCGATAAGATAAAATTATCGACTGATTTGGATCGTCTGCCAATGTATTGAATAAAAGTATATTAGGCCGAGAACTTTTTGATCACACTTCGTATTTGCAACAGTTTAACATAAAAGACCCAGGCATAGTCATAGATATCAAGGGGATGAGGTCCCTGGGGGACAGCCACGCTTAACAATGCGGGGACGTTTGGGGATATGCCATGGCTACCCATCGACACCATCTAGTTTACTATGGACAAAATTTTGGTAGAAAATTCCCCAGGATTGTGGCAGATATAGACCGACAAAATTTAGCATCAGAATGCACAAAACAAGCAATTTACTTCGAAACATCCCTTCGCAAGTACTAACGGGAGACGATGACAACGCACAGGTATTTTAATCAAATTTTAGTAGTTAATTCGGCGATCTATTTTCTATTCCTCGATTAAGGGTATTGGAGGCAACGGTTCCGGCTCACTGTACACTGCGTCTGCCCAGTTTCCATCATAAGCCGTCGCTATACGGTAATAGTATTCCTTCTGACTCTCTTTCTCCGTGGAATCCACCAATTTGAGATCTGTTGCTCCAAGTAGGGACTGTTTTGTGTTAAGGTTGAACACAGTCGCCCACGCTCCTGTTTCAGTGTTATTCAGTCGCTCTAGCTTTATGAACGCCTTGGCTGCGTACGGAAGCTTATACGTTACCACGACTTTCTTCGTTCCTTCTTCCAGGAGCATGCCGGTGATATTAGCAAAAGGGGGTGGAAGAGTCAAAGGAAAATATGGGCTATATGCAGCAAACTCCCATTTTTGGCTGCGACTCACACGCAGACGATAATAAAAAAACCGGTTGGTTTTTTCCTTTGTGTCGATAAGCACCGTCTCTCTGCTTTTCCCTTCCTGACCTTGACAGACTGCAAATTGGGACTGGTATTGGGCGACGTCTTCCCATTGCCCGCTTTGGTCTTCTGAACGCTGTAATGCTATATAAACATCACCTTGGTATTTCACCTTCACGAAGGCCGTCAGCGAAGGTCCTTCAAAAATTACCCCCGTGATGCTTGCCTCTTGTGGGCGAAGGTCCGAAGGAGTGGCGTCGCTGAATCGTACGTTTTCTATGCTCAAAGGGTAGATTACGCTAACAGAATCAGTATATACGCTAACAGAACCAGCATATAATGACATATGGGACTTAACATGACTCACTGACACAAAAATAGCTCGGGAAAAGATGTTTCGAAAAGAATAAATTAGTGATTCAATATACCACAAATTCGCTGTTAATGGCCAAAATTATAGGCGCTTTAAACGGTATGACCTGCCTACTCGCTACCAAGGTTAGGTCGATTTAACTCTGCAGGAATTCTCGCTGTGCAATCAATGATATCGGATTAATTGTCGGGCACGCCCCCTTGAGCAACTTTGGGGTAATAAGCCGAACACGCACGAAAGTTTATTATCCCCTAGCTGCTTGAAGAGGCGTATTAGACAATTAAGCTGATTGTATTGTTTGCACTTAAGTGAGAATATCCTGCAGAGTTGGATCGACCAAGCTGGTACGATATGTGAATCTGAATGCGGCCTAAAACGACTGCCATTTCCAAAGTAGATGTAACAAATAAAACCTCTTTCGGAGATGTAATTCAAGGTGTTCGCGCAATGGCAATCTCAGGTTGTGTGGGCGTGGGTGGGTTGGTGGGTGGTTTGGGGGGAGGGTGCAGGGTACAGGGGTTTGTAAATATGTAAATATGACTATCCTGTCAAAGCTAGACTTGGGACGTTGTACCCGGCATCCTACACACTAATTGTCCTTAACCGCGACTGCAGAGACAATTTTCACATTACACATATACATGTATTTCTACCCCTCCCTTTTCTTCAAATCCCATCCCCAGGCCCCCTTTTCTCTGCTTTTCCCTTCCTGTCCTTAACCGACTGCAAATTGGGACCGGTATATAATAATAATAATAATAATAATAATAATATATATATATATATATATATATATATATATATATATATATATATATATATATATATATATATATATATTATTTTATATATATATATATTATTTCACCTTCACGAAGGTCGTCGATTTCACAAATTAGGCCTACCCCCGTGATGCTTGCCTCTTGTGTGCAAAGGTCCAAAGAAGAAGTGGCGTCGCTGGATCGTAGGGGCCTACGTTTTCTATTGCTCAAAAGGTAGATTATTCTATCGCCTAAGATCGCCTCTCCAGTCGCGATCGATGACAGGCATATAATCTACGTTAGGGACTTTCCATGACTCATTTCCACAAAAATATATCGGGAAAAAATGTTTCGAACAGACGGTTGCAATCAATTATAGGCCTACTTTAGTCCTGCTAACCAAATCACATTTTTTTAATTACTTCTTATTTTCACGTCAGTATTTATTCAATATGCCACAAATTGGCTGTCAATGGTTATAATTATAGACGTTTCAAACGGTATGACCTCCCTACTCGCTACCAAGGTAGCAAAATTTATTATGTGCATGCACTTCAGAGTTCTTTCTGACACCTGCACAGTGCAGAAAACTCCCATCATTAAAATATAGACACATCTGTGAATATCTAGTGAAAAAGGCAATATATATATATATATATATATATATATATATATATATATATATATATATATATATATAGGCCTATATATATATATATATATATAGGCCTATATATATAGGCCATGCGGTATAAATGGTACCTTCTCCCCAACCACAGATTTATGCGTAGGTTTTCATGGAATATGGTATTTTTATGTAAATTGTATAGATTGAGATGACATTTGACTCCTAGCCTGAAATGGGTAATTGTGGAGTCTGATTGGGCACAACTCTCCTCTCCAGTCTGTGCCTTCAAAGCGGAAGTGGGTTTAAATGCGCAAAAACTGGTGCGCAATTCTCGGTAGACTCATGGGAAAATTAAATGGCGGATCCGGTGCACGTCGGTAGTAGCTGACAAGAAGCAAAAAAGTTGCAATTTCTCCAACAATCTAGCTGCCCACAATTTTATAATTGGAGCCTCAACGAGAAGTGTTTTAATGCCACACGAATGTACACCTACTTTGTTATGGGCCTCAAGGGATTCGTGTTATTCGCGGCGAAAGTATGGAGTTTCATTTGCTACTGTATACGAAGACAAATTCGATCGGTAAGTGAAATAAATGTCGTGCTTGTCCCGAACGTCGCATGCATGGAGTGATTTCTGCTGACATCGAGTGATACGTATGTAACAGTAACAGTGCCGCAATTATGTAGCGTAAGTTCAGGTGTTGTTTTTCACGGAACTGAAACTTGACCTTATTCTGGTCAGTGTCATTTGCAAAACTGCAACGCGTCAACGATTTTTTAACGCAGACGGTTGCCATTGGTCGAACACGTAGGGACACTGATGATATGAAGATAAGTCAAGGTGATTTAATGTGCCCGTGCTGCGTGACTACTAGCCATTAAATTTAGTCAACGTTTGGGCTGTTTAAAAATTGAGCGCGATTGACAAACTCGGACAAGTGCTGTTACTATTACTAAGATGATGTGCGAAGATGGTGTGCTTGGAAGTCATTAAATCATTGTACACTAAAAGTTTGCTTTTCAGCATGTTGTGCTGACTTTCAACTTGAAATAGTAATTTATTTTTTTAAATTAGTATTTAATATTTGACTGGAGTTTACCAGAGTAAACAAATTCCACAAGATAATTGACCTAGCATTTTTAAATTTTTTTTTTGTTTTGTTTATAGTTTGGATAGTAGATGTGGGGATAATATTGTGAAAAAGTCAGTCAAAGTTAAATACTAAAAATACTTTTTTAAAGAAAAAAAAAAAGAAAAAATGTTTACCTATTTATAAAATTACAGTCAATACTTCACAAATTTATTTTACTGATAGCTCTAAATGATTGCCTAGCCTTAATACCACTGACTTTACTATAAAACAGTCATAGGTTTAATTATTTTATTTATGTCTATTAAATGTCAAAAACACAGGAACAGTACAGTTAGGTATGACTGTTGTCAAACCCTGTATGTACAGTTGCTGGTATATTCACTTTTCCCTACTTCCTTGGTTAGTTCTTATGTAGAATGTACACATAATAGAAGTGATTTGTTTGCACAGGCTGGCCCATATTGGGGATGTGCATATTTACAGAGTGCGGTCAACCTTCTAGTAATAAAGAGCTTCAGTTGTCTGGATGATGTGTGAAACATTAACCCGGGCCCCTAGCAGTTTTAAAGGGGGGGGGGTGGGGTGGGGGTATTTTTCTGAAAAGTGGACCTTCATATCCACAAATTGTGCCCTGAGTGGACCTTGTCCTGGCAGAAAGGGCCATTCATTTAATTGATTAATAGACAAAATTAGCAAAAGTAAAGTGCATAATTTATTTAAATTAGTTCAGATCATTTATCTACCTTGCCTTGTCTGAAAGCACCTGAAAAGTTTTTGAAAGACAGATGCATGATGTGGATTTTTAAAATTTACTACCCTCATTTTTCATGCTCAATTTTTACAACTTTTAAGATTTGAATTAGATTAAAGAGCAGTATATATCTTAAATCCCATTTTTGTCTGCAGACAGTTTAGCACATATATAACAATTGTATCATTCAGCATCATGACAAAAGTTTTAAACTCACAAGTCAGTGGGGTTGTAGATCCTGTTGTCAGCTAATTGAGGCACACATGCTAAACTTAAAAAATATTTAATGTTGTTTAATTTGTTTTAATTTATGTATTGAAATTTCATATTGGTTTTCAGTATCCATCAATATTTTTTATTATTATCATGTGATATTTTCATCAGATTAATCCATTATGTCATATTTATCCAACATTTTTATGGGTTGCCACTAAGAACTCAACTTAATTAGTATGCTATGAATATACGCAAGTTCATGACAGTGACCATAAATGATAAAGTGGATAAGAATTAACAATAAGTTTTACTGTAACGTGTTCTTTTCCTTTTTCTTTTCTACTTCAGCCTAGAAAAAAGTTGACTGTTTGTTTGTTAATGAGAATGATAATTTGGAAAGTTCTTCACAAATGTTGACGAAACTTTCATGTAAGACAGTAAATCCAGGAGTGAAATAAGTGACTACAATTGCAACCTAATCTAGATCTCTTAATATAGATATATTAAATTATAATTTATTGCCTTTTTCCTTGGCAGAGGTCTGCACTTTCAAGCTCCCAGGTGACAATTATGTAACACTTGTTTAACTCAAATACTAATTATAGAACACTTGTTTGAACCAAGCTATAATTACATTGCACAATTATTACCTTTATATTGGATATGGGAAGCATAATTTCATAGATTTAGATATATTGATTTTCAGAAGGCACAGCTTATGTCACTTATGGATTATTTCATACCTTTGTAGGACTTCAGAGTGGGTGTATATAATTATATACATGTGTGTATGTGTATGTGTGTTTATGTGTGTGTGTGTACATATGTGATTGGTAAGTAATGGGAGCTGAATGGATATACATGTATATATATTTATATATATATATTATCCCTGGAATTATGAATTCTTTATGAGGGTATTGGTGAAAAATAGAATAATGTTGTTTTCTATCATAACATAAATCAATGAAGTGTTGTTTACATGTTTTGGATGAGATGATAGATGGATATATATATATATATATATATATATATATATATATATATATATATATATATATATATATATATATATATATATATATATATATATACACGTGACCTCAATTGATCAATGGATGTAAATATATCAGTGTGACCTCAATTGATAATTTATCTTTGGGTTTATTGACACAATCAATTATTCAGTTATAAATAGTTACAACTTTACATGGTCTGTTTATATATATAACTACTAGTACAACACTGAAAAACTTGGATTATCCTTCCAAAACCCAACAAATATATTTTAGACTCCTCTGATACTAACCTATTATGTGATACTATGTTTACTCATCTACTCTGGTTTTAAACTCTTCTCTGTGATATTGAATTATTCAGTAATGTTATTTTAGTGGTATTGATCTATTTCAGGTGATACAACACCAAACAGTTAGATATGAGATCCTTCCCTTGTCTCCACTGTCTAAACACAGATTAAGTAAGTATTTGAAGACTGAAAAATAAAATCCCATTAGCTGTGTATGTGAAGTCCATTGACTTAATGTTTGATTTTTTTTTGGTTGAATACAGATTTCAGATTTTGACCCCCTTTCAGAACTGTAAACTGTGGGTCCATATTTTTTTTTTTTAAAAGATTTTCTTTTTATCATAGCACAGTGGAAAAAGTTATTTGCTGTGCAAAATAAAACCTGAAATTATTTTTAAGGTCTTGATCACTCCCTTCTGTATAACAAAGTGCATTTTTCTTTGATTTTATATGTGCATTTTTTCTGCATTGCAGGTATAGTGAAAAGAAAAACGTTGGTGTTAGATTTAGACGAGACGTTAATCCACTCCCACCATGATGGCGTACTGCGACAAACCGTTAAGCCTGGAACACCGCCAGATTTTGTACTAAAAGTATGTGAATCAGATTTAGGTTTAAAAGTAATATTTATTATTGTGTACACTTGTTAAATTCCATTTTTGTGCCTGCTGGAGTTTTAGCACACAATTATATAACATTTGCATCATTCAATATCGTGACAAGAAGTATGTGAAGCAGTAAACCTTTTGACAAGTCATCTAGAATAAACATTCGCAGTTACTTTTAAGATCAGAATAAGTACTGTGGTGCACTATTTTAACTCACTGGAGAAAAAGTTTAATTAAAATGTGTTTGGTTTTGATTTATGATTAAATTTCAGGTACTGTAATATTTGTAAGCAGCACTGATTTGGTGTGGCATTGATTTAAGAAATAAATGATCATTATTATTAATTCAAGTCATGTTGAAAATTGATATATCTACAGTTGAAGTTGCTTTTTTATTTTTGAAGTTTGAATACAGTTTCTTATGCTGAAAACTAACTACAAGTGTTGACATTGTATTTTTATCATTGCAGGTAACTATAGACAGGCATCCAGTTAGATTTTTTGTACATAAAAGACCACATGTAGATTTCTTTTTAGATATAGTAAGTAACCATCTACCTTCTATCCGACCCTCTTATTAATCAATGGCAAGCAATATTTCTATGCGTTTAAGATATGCTACATGTTAATACTCTTAAGCTTCAAATATGCCAAAATGATGTCAACACTATTTACATATTCTGTCTTAGTGTAATTTTGAATGTTTGTTTATCTGCGTAATCCATTATCAAGCAGTGTAAAATCATTTCTTCACTAAATAAAAAAAAATGTTAGTACACCAAAAAATCTAATTGTGCTGGTGGTACATGCCCCAGAAGGCAGTTTTCACCTCTCTGACCCCTGTTATTTCCCTATATTTCAGGTCAGCCAGTGGTATGACCTGGTAGTCTTCACTGCTAGTATGGAGATATACGGGGCTGCAGTAGCAGATAAACTGGATCAGGGGAGAGGGTTTTTAAAAAGAAGGTACTATAGGCAGGTGAGTGGACAGGGGAATAATATGTAAAAATGGACTTGGGGGGGTGGGGGGGTAAAAAGATGGGAAGGGGTGTAATACGAGAAAAGTGGTGAAGGTATTAAAATGAATTTTTTTTTCTGCAGAGCATTTGTAAGGCGCACCATGTCAGTAGGGTGTTGGGGTGGGTTGAAATGAAGAGACAATAGGCATGTACTAGTAGTTGACAAGTGTAATGTCATTAATTTGAAAACTTGACTGAGAAGTGAACAAAGTCAGTTGTAGCTGTAAGAAAGATCTGCAAATTGAAAGATATTTAGAGGTAAAACTGAGGGGTGTGTTTCCTTGTTGGGATTAATCACTTATAGCTGGGTATTTTGGTTTAAGTGATTACTAGTTGTACAACTAAACAGCATGAAGTAATTATGTTCTCCAAAACAAATTTTTTTGCCATATATAGTACATTATGTAATTTAGAGAGCAAAACATGTGGAAAAAGTTGGATTATGATAATGACAAGGTATTTGAAATTTTTATAATTATAATGACAGTTTTAGATACCATTCAAAGTGCCTGAGTCTTAAATAAGCATAACTATGTGCTTAAATTCAGTGTGTTTGAGACATCAGCTTTTAATTATTTATTATAATTTTTTTTCAATTCCAGCATTGTAATTTAGACTATGGTAGCTACACGAAGGACCTATCAGCAATAAGTAATGATTTGTCAAGTGTGTTTATACTGGACAATTCTCCTGGAGCATACAGAGCATATCCAGGTGAGAAACTAGGTCATCGTGACCCAGCTTGATGAAAAATAGGTCAGGTTGACCTGATTTTTTTTTTCAAGTGGGGAAAATGACTTTGACCCTGCTTATACTTCAAATCTCCCATGCATGAAGTATACATAACTTTTAAAAAACTTTTCTCTCTTTTCATTTTAGATTTAAAACGAATATTTCATTATTCTTCCAACACCCCTTTATTTTGCCCTTTTAAGTCAAATAATAACATTTCCCTGAAATGGCTTGGAAATAATGTTTACATGTTGTTTGTAATCTTATTAATTTATATGAACTCCACATGTCATATATTAAGTTTTGCTGAACTGTTGTGTAATTACATATCTTTGTATATCGTAATTTTTTTGCAGACAATGCAATACCCATCAAGTCATGGTTTTCTGACCCGACAGACACAGCACTTCTCAACTTGCTCCCTGTGCTCGATGCTCTCAGGTTTGTCAGTGATGCGCGATCAGTGTTGAGCCGGAACTTACATCTACACAGGCTCTGGTAGCACCCAATGTACCGAGGTGGTACAAATATTATATATAAAATAAAAAAGCATAAAAATTCCTGGCTTGCTCTGCATCAGCAACAGCGGGACTGTACTTGGAAACAGCGTGTGGTTTCATAATTGCGGAGCAGCTGGGTTTTTTCAGAATGAGGCTGCATTGCCTGGAGCAGAATGTAAGATATTGAATTCAACTGAAGAATAAGTAAGCATGCAATGCAGCACAACCCTGGGTGGAACTGACACCGATGGAGGGTTTGAAATAAATAAATAATAGTCAATATGGCTTGCCACGTAGAAAAAAATGGATTTGAAAAAAAAAATCCTTATGCTTCATCTTTATATTTATAGGGAGATGCTACAGGGGCTACTTTATTGCACTATTGTGAACATAAAAAGATGAATGCAGCAAGGAAAATTAGTTACAGGTCATTCCACAGCTTTTTTTTCTCTTGAGTAAATATTTTCCCTCCTCCTTTTACAAAATCTATTCTTCCTTTTGAAGCTTAAGAATTAAAAACAAACAATCAAAAAAACTATCAGAAGCAGTTACGTTTTGTCTTAATTTTTTTTTTGGAACAGATTGGCTTAATCTGTCAAAAAGGCCAGAAGTTACATTTGGGGTTAGAGGACGGGGCGCAATGGAATGACCCTCAGTTGATTGCTTTTAACAAGCAGCCTTCAAAACCCATGGCAAGGTGTAATATAGTATTAACTAGTAGTGGACATGGCTAACTGCAGAACAGGTAAAGATGTAGCAAGTTCCTACCACTAGAATTGTAAAATAGGTATAAATATATAAATATAAATGTAGACAAGTATATAAATAGTGAAACAAAGATTCTAAACACATGGTACAGGAGGAGGATGTCGCTGGGCTTTTTGCACTTTTTTCTGTCACTTAAATGCTCTGCACGTTCAAGTGTCAAAGAAAGAATTTGTCAATTTGATTAAGTAAATATGTTGCATTTGGTCATTCTTTAAAGTGGACACCTGTTCATATGTTTGAAAAAATTACGTTTTGCTTTAAAGGTAAATTATTCCAATTATTTCATAAATCTCAAGTGAAATTATTACTTTTTCCTACAGGGAATTATGACGGGCACTGCATTTTTCTCTTTGCCTAAATTACTTTTCTGGCAAGTTTAATTGTTGAGCCTCGTTAATGCATCATTGTTTGTGAAAGAATCAAAAATTCATGGTACTGGACACTTCATTCCCCATGCCACCTTTCTCTCACTGTTTCCATAGTAAGAAGTGAATATTTAAGCAGTTTTGATTGGCCATCTGGTGCTTGCCAAATTGACCAATCCGGTTGATGTAAAACATGCTGCTGCCCTTTTGGGGGAAAATTTCCCTTTTTGTTCAGTATCTGATAGTTATATATCACATTAAGAATGCCATTGGTCATATATGATGATAATAGTTTAGTTTGAGATAGATATGGTGTTTTTTTTAGATGATAAAGTAGAATATCAGTAAAACTGAATTACAAGACGAGTTTCTGTTTTTAATTTGGGCCGTCTTTGAGCCCACATTGTCCAGAGATTGCAGCATTAATTTTGTACTTAGATAAAATGTGGTAAATATCAAATTTATTTTTAGACGAAAGTAGTAAAAGCTATTTTGGTTAATTACTTATTAATAGTAAAAGTGGATAGGAAAGTGTATTGTCAGTTAAGATTTTTCACATTTTTTTGACAATATCTGACTACAGATGTAGTTTTAGTCCAATGTTATTGATATTTATACTTTCTGGCTGCTGTGTACATGACATTCAAATATGTTTTGAAGTGGCAGTAAAAATTTTTTTTTGTGAAAAATAAATAAAATGCTAAACCACTACAACAAATTGCCATAGATTACCCATTTGAAAATTTTATGACACATTCAAAAAACAGATTCCGAACAATTATACACACATTTTCAATTATTTTGTGCAATCTTAATTATAACAAAACAAGTGCTAATATTTCAGCCTGNTGATTTAAAAACATTTACTGCTGAATATTTGCATCAAAATCATTCCTGACAAACGAACAGTTCATGTAAATCTGGAATATATGAGCTTATAATCATACTCGATATTGGGTTCGTCATGACAAGTTGCTGGTGTAAACAATCATGGCGGACACAGGAGCTATTTTCCTGGCAAAAAACTTACTTGAAGAAAAAGGTGAGGCCAGTGTGATGGAAATAATATGATATAATGTACAAAATGAAAAGGAACCAAACTTGTCTGCTTTGTAATAATTTTAGACAAGGACAACTTCTAAGTATCTAGAAATGGGATTAAATCTTGTGATGTACAAGTAGAATTTCCAGACGGGAGTAGTTTACTAGCACTACTGGTAGGTAATAGTACACGCCTGTAACCGTAGGTAGATTCTAATCAGTACAGTTGCTCTGCGGTGACACCTCCGTCATTATACCCGGTAAGTGAGTGTGTCATTTTAAGAACTTACTCTGCTATTTACCGACAGAGAATGGCTTTGAACTGAGCCAAAGTAAGAATGTACTTCGTTTTTAATTCACTTGTTTCTACCGGGTCTTTACTATGTTCGTTTGCCTTACGTTCGTGTTAATATTAATGGGTCCTGCATTTAATACTACTCTTATGTCTTTGTTTAGTAATATGTTGACCCAAGTCTTTTTCTTTGATAAAGCAACTGCACATATACTGTATAATTTCTTGTGCTAATACAACATATAATTTGTCTCTTTTAAATCTTTCTTAGTGCTGTTAAGAAGACCTCCATCAGGATCAAGAGCAGGCAAAGCATGCACTTCTGCATATGCCAGAGAGCTTTCTTCCACAACAAAATCCTCAAAACTCTTCCAGACAAACCATTCTCTTCCACCAAGACCAGCCACTAAAGATGGCAAACAAACAAGTGATATTAAGAATATGCACACTGGGATGAAGAAAAGGATACAAAGTGCTCATCCAAAACTGGAAAGTTCCCAAGGTCATTCTGCATATTATGATACAGGACAAGATAATATAGATGATAGATTGAAACCTAATGTGTACAGCCTATCAGAGCACAAGAAAGTATTTGGGAGTAATTCAGATCTAATAACTGAGGCAAAAGGAGAGAGATGTCCATATAAACTAGAGACATCACCAAGAGAATTCCTGCCAGGTGTTCTCCACAAGCCATGTGCAAGGTAGCCTATTGTGAAATGTTTTAGTTTTACTGTGAGCCACACAAATGTATCTTATTACAAATACCATTACAATATTAAGAAAAACTGGAGCAGTGTATTACTCAGTAAATGTATTTCTTTATTTTAGTAGTCTGTAAGTAAATTTCCTTCAAATAACTTGGCATTCAATACATAAGAAATTATCGGTTAACAGCACAAAATATGATAGACTACTATAAAACATGCTTAAGCGAATTATTACATAAGAATACTCAGTAGGTGGTATTTTTATGCTTTTTCCACCAAAATGCTAAAAGTAAAGGAAAAGTCAGTATAAAATTCTGTTACAGTGAATAAATACGCCAATGTTGATGGTATTTTTTAGGCAACTTCCATCTAGTTTAAAGCCATTGGCACCATGGCTCACACCAGAGATCCCACCTCGTCTTATAGGTATGAGTCCAAGAGATGGTTTGATTTTCTTACCAGGATTTCCTAATGACTATGAGGACCTCCCTACAGTTCCACCTGTACAGAATCCAGAGGATGATTTGCCATATAAAAGTAAAGTTAAAGAACCAGAACCGTGGGTAAGATTATTTAGCTGTAACCTTTTCAAAATGTTCCTTTATATTTAAAATGCAAAATAGCATATTATAATATATTATTTTGGATTTTTGATGACAAAATGATTAACATAATCTATTGACTTAATAGCTCGATGAACTATATACACATATACTGTATATGTATATAGCTCATTGATTGGCTTTAAAAGTAGAGATGTCATAGATTAAAAACATATAGTAGTGTATTATGAATTTGCATATATAAACAAAGGGGATGCTAGTACATAAGTAGTCAACTCTTTAAAATTACTTTAATCATTTGACATTTTAGGCACCAAAGAGGTACAGATATTATAGGGTAAGAAGTAAGATTTTTTTTCACTAATAATTTTTCTCTTAAATTGACAGAAAGTGTCTGGAGAGTTCTGAAAAAGAAAAACTGGTGTTACTTGAAATGTAAATTGGTCTAAAACTTGTCATCTGACAACCAGTTTAATACAAAAGGATTTTTAATTCAAAAATTTCTGAGTCTGATGGTTGTCACACAGAAAAACTTCAGTCATCTAAATCCTGTTTTAAATAGACTTTTGATTATGTCTACAGAGTTTTAAGTTAAATTTAATCTAAAAAGAAGAAACTTTATTTTTTAATTAATTTATTTTATGGTTATCATATTTTATTTGTTTAATTAATTATTTTATTGTTATTTTTTAACACTGCCTTTTTTTTTCAGAACCCCACCCCGGTGCTTGAGGACTGGATGTGCAAACATGCTGGACAAAGACAAGTCAAAGTGTTTGCAAAGGATGGAACACTGTTACATGAGTAAGTTTTATCCCAAATTTAACTGATGAAATAAATTAAATGTAAAAATGAGAACTTATGGCAATTGTACAGTTGATATCTAGGAGGGCATAAAACATAACCTAGCTAATACACTAAAACCATAATCTTGTGCTAAGCAGCTTATGAAACCTGTATTATATTTTTATTGTGTTAGAATAAACTTTTTCACGTCACTAATGTTAGCTATTTTTATCAGGCGTTTTGAAGGGAAAAGGACAGCTGATGTGGTTAGAAAAGAAATACAGGAATTGGAGGACCTTATGAGGGGTATTTAAATTTGATTTAATTACAAGTATAAATCCATTTATTGAAAAACAATTCAAGATAGAGCCCCATGTCTGCTGGATCATGATATGGTACTGAGCAGAAATGTTCGTTGCATTCTATCATGCATAGACTGCTGTATATTTTGGTAGGCGATCAGGTGCAGATGGCCTTCATCTGGATATTTCAACTTTTCTTTTATGAATGAATTTAGCTCCAGTAATTTTGATGCTGACATTTTTTTTTCGTGTGTGTGCGTGTGTGTGTGAGTGTGTGTATATATGTATATATATATATATATATATATATATATATATAATTTCTGTCAAAATCCCACTTCCATTTGTAGGCATTGGTTCAGAGGGAGGTACCAGTATTGTAGTGCAATATCAGGCTGAAATCACTAAGTTAAAAGAAATGGTGGATGATACATTAGCAAGGGTTATTCACAGGTACTTTTTCTGTTACGATCTGTTATTAACTTATTATACTAAGCAGTGGAAGTAGAAATAGTTGTTGTCATAGTGGTAGTGGTGGTACTGTAGCAGTAATAGTAATAGCAGTAGTTGCAGCAGCCACAGTGGTGGTAAATGGTGTACTTTTTCTTGTTGATTTAACTGTGGTATGTTTGTTGAAGAACAAACAACATAGAAAAGTTAACAAGAAATGGACATTTATTCATATGCAGTATGCTGACAATAAACCTGATCAGATGTTCCAATTGTTTTAAGTGAAATCTTTAAATTTTGTACTACAATTTAAATTGACTTTAAAATGTAAATTGTAATACTGTCACGTTTATGGAATTGATAACTTTCTTTGGTTTTAATACCATATTAATTTGAGAGTGCTTTATTCCAATTTCAGAGATACAGAAACGGAACCTGAACCAACAGACTATGTGAGTATAGATGGACATCTTTTTTTCATTGCAGTTGCCATAAGTTGAAGAAGAGACAGATTTATAGAAAAAATGTATACAAGTTCTAGAGTTGCTGGCAAATCGGCTAGTTATTACTTTTCATTTATTTATATTTTTTTTGTGACTGAATGTACCTGTTCATCATATTTTAATAATCAAAATGGATGACAAAAACATTTAAAATTCCAAGTATTCAGCAATGTGAAATCAATCTACATTCCCAAATCATAGCAAACAGTTTTGCATATGGGACAGTATAACAAATAATGCACATGAGAATGCTTGCCTTTATGTCTATCATCATTTTCTCATGGAAAGGCAACCATTCATCAGTCACATCCCATAAATAATTCATTTCAAGTTTTGATCAGAAATATTTCTAAAGAACATATCTAACTTCAGTACATTTTTTTCAGTGTGGCTTAAGAAAGTTTTACAAACACCATGATGCAGTAATGGATCAAATCAAAAAACAACATGAACTGTGTGTGCAAGAGCTGGCAGAACTAGAGTCTGATATGGAGATGGAAGACGAGAAAAGATATTTCTCTAAGTCTGTCATGAGTTAAAAATGAATACAGACACATAGTGATGACTTTTATGTAAAAGATTTAGTTCTCGACAGTTCTTCAAAATATTTTGCACCTCTATGTGCAAAAATAAAACCTTATATTAAAATATAAAGAATAACAATTTCTTTTAAAACATTAAATTGTGATATTTATATAAATTGTATTGCAATATTTTTCTCTTTCTACAAACAGTTAGGGAGAACTTACATTTAATATCATTTGACTGTTACCATTTACTTTCTCACCGGCACTGACATTCCATTATATCATTCCTTCATTTTCATTTTAATTTATAAAAACAAATTGGTTCATAATATACGCACCTTGGTTGTCTTGTAACATATACAGCTGACGGGTAAAAGAAAAACAAGACTAATAAAATAATCATATTAATTAACTTGTTTCATTAATCACAAACATCACCTACTTTAATTTATTAAATCCTGTGTTAATATGTGCCCAAAAGGGGATATTGTCACATGTTTCAAGTGACAAGAGGCACACTATCAACACTATGTCAAAATAAATATCTCAATCATGTGAAGATTTAAAAAGACATTGTTGACAAATAGAAATATATTTCTGAAAATTGTTTCTGTCTTGTTTGCTGCTTACAAAGTATATGAAACCAGTAACTGTAGTAATTAGGATACTATTTGACGGGTACCTTTCCTTGAAGAATTGGTATCAGTTTATCTGTGTCAATGTTTCCTCCAGATATAACACATACAATATTCCCAGTGCCTGCTTTCCCAGCCAGTGCTGCCGCCACAGGGGCCGCACCAGCACCTTCTGCCACAACACGATTTCTCTCCACCAATAACTTCACTGCATCTGCCACCTCCTGTAAACTAACTACCAAAGAATCTATGAGAAGTTCCTTTACCATTGGCCACATCTCATCAAGCACTGACTTCCCTCCCATGCCATCCACAAAACTTGCCTTGTAATCACAGGAAGTTGGTTTTTGTATCTTGAATGACTCAGCCAGCGGTGCAGCAGTTTCTACTTCACAAGCGTACATTCTGGCACTAGGTTTGAGAGCATGAAAAGCTGAGGCAATGCCACAGCTTAGTCCACCACCACCAAATGGCATTATTACAGCATCAACTTCTGGAAGGTCTTCTAAAATCTCAAGTCCAATAGTACCATTACCTATATCAGAAAATTTAAATGATAAAGAAATGCTGCATATATATATATATATATATATATATATATATATATATATATATATATATATATATTATTTTTGATTGGGCTGGTTCTTTAGACAAGAGACTAAAGACTTTTTGCATTTGGACTTATGGCAAATGGAGATATATTAATCAAGAGCACCAGGAAAGTAAGTTTCGGGGGATACATTAACTGAAAACAAAATAAAACAACAGAGGCATGCCAATAGTAGATGATAGTTTCCATCTATCTCTGAAACACAAGGCACAGACAACCTGTTTTTAACTTTTATATCCCATATCAAGCAATTTGCAGTCCAAACAAACCTGCCATGACAGTCTTTTCACAAACTGGATGAATGAAGGTCCCGGCAACTCCATCGCAGTGATGCTCCTGAATGACTGTCCACCATGTATTAAAAGGCACCTTGCAATACTTTCCACCTAGTCTCTCAATGGCATCTAATTTGGTCTGTGGCGCATGGTCTGGAACAATAGTATTACATGGTATCTTCATCTGCTTGGCTCCCCATGATAAACCCTGGGCAAAGTTCCCAGCACTGGCTGTGTAAACACCATTAGATAGTTTTTCATGTGGAATACAGTTGATAGCGTTGTAAGCCCCTCTTAATTTGAATGAGCCAATAGGTTGTAGGTTTTCAAGTTTCAAGTAAATCTATAGTGGATAGAAGAAATTGAAAATGCTATCATCACATCAGTTATTGACTGAATGTACATGTACTGGTACATGTTCATACTCTACCTACTAGTACAATGTACTTACTGTACTATGAGTCAAAACAAGTTCACCATATACAGAGTACCCTCTATGTGTATTATACTGTTAACTGCCACAAAGTCAAATGAAGCTCCTGTACATTGACCAATTGAGTAACGGGGGTAGAGTACATGTACATGTTGCAGTTACATATTGTATACCCCAGTAGCTGCATGTTCTGGGTATGTCTTCCGTATGGATTTCCTCTAAATATATTGGAGGTAAATGACACGTTTACATTGGCGCATAGAATAACCTCTTATGAAAATTGCACATTTGCTCAAGTTAACAACAGTACAACCCGTACTAGCATATGTTTAAACTACTACTTACCTTGATAGCTTCTGAAGCAGAGTAATTCAACGGGACAAGCGGCGTTCTGAAAGCTGTCCCCTTTAACGTCGTTTGTGCCCTTTGGATATCTTTCAATGGAACTGCAAGCGACATTATTTATTGCCTTTCTATTTAATCTAATAGTTCTTTCCCCTTAGTGGTCTTGTTGGCGCTGTTGTCTGTGCTGTGCATATTACACCCCTCCAACTATTGACACCTGTGACCCATTTTAAATGACCTAGTTTCAATGTCCAATCAAAAAGTTCCATACATACCCTCTAGCAAGCGCGTGTTGACATGTATCAGTGTTCTCCTAGACAATAACCGACACTGCATAACATTAATAATAAAACAACACAAACAGCATATAAAGTGTATATGGACGCAGTTAGCGCACGAATTTTATTCCAAACCATCTTCAATCATTTACAAACAACATAAACAAATAATTAAATAAATAAATTATAAACACGAGGATACCCTCTCCTCACCAAACCTCTTTATCATCTCTTCCTTTTATATATAAAAAGGAATCACCAGGAAATCACATCCCAAACAGCTCTTCCAAGCTCATCTTTCCCTTACCCAGGAAATCACCGGGATATCACATCCCAACAGCTCTTCCGGGTCCTACGAAAATACGAAAACTGCGAAAACCGCGAAAACCAGAAGTTGCTAGGCGAAAACCTCACTATAACTTACCAATTCTCGATGTTCTTGACAAGTTGCTGTAATATTTGGATAACTTGGACCATATTACATACATCATGACCTTTGATAACGATGTTGTAATGAATTGAGTATGTTACAGCTGAGTTTTCTAGATCGGCAACCATAGTGCGTGGGAGCCATGTTTGGTTTACAATTGGCATATATAAACAGCAGTGTCCCCTCAGGCCAGTATTGCCATATCAGGCCAGTATTGCCCTCTCAGGTTAGTAATGCTTTTCCAGGCAAGTAATACTCTCTCAAGTACTATATGAAGTGGATAACACAGATTACCTGCATTCTTAGTGANCATATACTAGGGTCCTACGAAAATACGAAAACCGCGAAAACCGCGAAAACCAGAAGTTGCTAGGCGAAAACCTCACTATAACTTACCAATTCTCGATGTTCTTGACAAGTTGCTGTAATATTTGGATAACTTGGACCATATTACATACATCATGACCTTTGATAACGATGTTGTAATGAATTGAGTATGTAACAGCTGAGTTTTCTAGATCGGCAACTATAGTGCGTGGGAGCCATGTTTGGTTTACAATTGGCATATATAAACAGCAGTGTCCCCTCAGGCCAGTATTGCCATCTCAGGCCAGTATTGCCCTCTCAGGTTAGTAATGCTTTTCCAGGCAAGTAATACTCTCTCAAGTGCTATATGAAGTAGATAACACAGATTACCTGCATTCTTAGTAATACAAAGTTTATTAATAAATAGGAATTGATAAATATGCACAAAGTAGAACTTTTTTTTCATTCCAACCAGAAGTGAAACTACACATCAATGCTTGTAAAAAGTGCCCATTTTAATACACCATACATGTAGAGTCTATATTGTATGAGCTGTGAACCTGCATAGAATTTACACTCCTACTTTTCCAAATATAAAATGAGTAGCATTGTTTAATAAAGTGACCAGCATAGAGCAATTTATAAAGCATTATGAAAATGTAGGTTCCAATTAATATAATTGATAATATTCAATATATATAATAATGGTGAATACAATTAAATTATTTTTATTAAAACATTTTTTCCTCTGAACTTGATCCATGGTCACTGATTTTGTTATTTAATCACATTTTATCTTACTCTTTTTGAAAAGATATTCATGCACAGCCATTTGTTACACTTATTGTTTTTCACTTAATAAACCAAATCCATTTCTAAAGCATCAATTAATTTATTGATTGTATATATGTGCATCCTAAGGTGTCTAATACACATTTTACCTTCAAATCAATGTGTTTAATTGTTTTTACATTTGGGTTCTGTGTATGTGCCAGTATACAGAGGTAAGCTCTTTTAACTCTGAAAAAATGTCAATAGTCAGTTAATCATGCATATATATTATACGCACAATAATGGAGAAAAAAAAGGAAAAAGGAACACACATTAAACACATGTACTGGTACTCTGATTTGCAGGAGGCATTTTCTCTTGAAAGGAGATATAACAGATTACAACTGCATGATGATATGTGATTGACATAATAAATAGTTTACTCCTAGACTAGAGTTTTAGGCAGTGCACATCTAATTTCGTAATTGATATGATATGATAATCTTTCAATTCCATATCTATTTCATCATTTCTGTGTCTATGCTGTGTTTTAACACTTCAACTTTTTGTATGGTAAGTTTTTATCAGTTTGAAGCACCCTGCATGTGTTTTGTTGAAGATTGCCAAAAAGCAAATGAAGTTATGTATATCAAGATAGTCCATAACATATTAACACCTTGGTATTTTCCATTATTTGCTGAATATTGGCATGCTGTAATATTAAGGGACTGTTGACAGTTCTTATTTGCCAGGAAGTTGACCAATAGTAAATAATAGTGTGTGCTTGTATATTTCATTTGCCATATATTTAAAGCATGTAATATACCAAATTTGGGCCAGTTTTGGGCCTTGCTTTGTCTTGGGATTGCATTCTGCTTGGTATAATAAAAGGAATATGAAATAAAAAGTGTTAGTTTTCTTGTAAAGAATATTATTACCTCTGCCAAGGAGGCTATGTTTTCACCCCTGTTTGTTTGTTTGTTTGTCATCATCATAACTAAAAAGTTATGGATAAATTTCGATGGCATTTTCAGGGTAGGTCAGAAATGGGTTAACTTAGAAGTTATTAGTTTTTGGTGGTGATCTGGATCTATAATCAATCAATAATAAAAAAACTAAATCATTATAGAATGAAAATTTAGGAGTGAATTTGGATGGACATTCTGCTGCCTTAGTGGAGGTCTGCGGTCTCTTATTGCTTTTCTAGTTGCCATTATTAATAAACTATTGTGTACACTTTGTAGTTTAAAAGTATTATAAGTTCTCAACCAATGCACTTCTCAATGGTGTATAATATATTGGGAAAGGAAGGTAACATTTTTGAAACAGATCATTAGTCCACTATTCTGAATGTGGCCTATATTTGTAAAATTGTCAGCTCTCTACCGTATTAATTCTCCTCTAAAACTTTATTCCTTTAAATATCTGGCCAAATAAGAATTATGCTTTGGCAATAGCATATAGCTCCCATATGATTTGAACTACTTTTGAAAGGGGACATTATTCTAGGTCAAAAACAAATGTTGCTTTAGTTCTAAATGCTTTAGCCATCATAAATGGGTTTAAACCCTGATAAAACTATAATCAATACTTAGACAAATTATGAATCTACATAATTAAGGTCATAGATTGTGTTGCGCTTTACAGAGCACCCATACATATTCATATGTAACATGTTCTAAGGCCAAAATAAAAAAACTTCAGACACATGCATTGAACGATTTGGATGTGTTTATTCTCAGAACTCGCTAGTCTGAAATGCAGACCGCATACACAGCACAAATTGCGTTTTCTTAAAAGAATTTTTGTATCTTTCTGATTACCATTGGGATTTACTACCTACTGAATTCATGTCATTGTTTATATGTTATGATTGGATCAGTCCAATAAGTATTGTGGTTAGGAGGGTTAAGTTGACAATGGCTAACTGTTATCTGCAGGTGTAAAAGAAATGACTAAATTGCATATATTAAATTTGGTGTGGTAAAATGGTTCAAATTTTGTGAAGACCTGGGATTTCTTTCACACAAACAAGTTAACAAGATAACAAACAGAAAAGTATTTTTTGAGACACACGTTATAAATACTTATTTCATCGAGTTAAAGATGCATCTAAAAATGCATATTCATCATATCTTCTAATATCATAAAACAGCCAGAAGGCCAAGCACACAGTTGGGTAGAATTCTTATAGGAAAAAAACATACAGTCTGTGTATTCTGGAAATTCAACACCTATGGGATCTTTAATTAACTGATGGTCATTATGATTGCATACTTTTCACAAACAAATGCACCCTTGGATTCTAATTAAAGTCAATTAATTAGATTCTGTTAATTTTAAGTGCTCTCTGACCTTTTTTTAAATGAATTAACACAATCTATATACATCCATTTGAAAGAAACAGAAAATTGAAAAATTGAAAAATTAAGTGGCATACAACATAATCCCCATCAATTTTTATTTATCTACTTTAAGTAATACTGTTTATTGTAACTGC